CMWCATCRWRTACTAAAAAGTACTTTTCKACGCCTGGGCACGAGTGTATTGGCGGCTGCCACGTGAWCTTAGTATTAAATCGGAAGTCTTTCGTCGCGCGTAACGGCGAGTATGCCAGGTTGCGTACTGYTCTTGAGGCATGCGATGTATTCTCTGGTTGGACTGTTTCAGTAAAAAAGGATTAMAAATAAATGGTTATAAAGGATTTGTGCCTAATTAGTTGATACCTACAGGAACAACAAAGCTGTCTGTCAAAGTTTGGAACRTTGTGACAGCCTAGGAAAGAAGAGAAACGATTAAAAACAAACTTGAAAAATCAGACCAGTAAATGAAAGTATGGATATCAAAATCCTGGGACATTTTTAAAAATCTGGACGTTATAGCGGGTATCCTTGGTTGTGGTTTAGGTGATTTTGATGACAGGCTAAACTGACTCATAGAAAGTCTTGCTTAGTTGACGTGATAAATTGACCACATGTCTTAGAATCCCCMAGTACATAAGAGAACAGCCATCGCCGTCATTTTGGAAGTCTGAGCGAAAGAGACTAAGGAAGAAKACTTTTATATTTTTATCTAACATAGTGACTATGTCGTAATTTACACAATACACAGTATATTGATAAAAGGCTCACCTTTATAGTTATAATAAATTGTCTTTCGTTCACTCGTTGAGCATTTTATTACATAATAAACCTGGAGTTCATAAACAAAGTAGTTATTAATATGTGTAAAGGAGAAAAAAACACTGTATACTACACTGAAGTTGCGATATGAATCGGTAATTATGATGATAACAAAAATCATCTTGTAAAGAGCGATTAATTAKCAATAGACAATGGATCGATGGGGTTTATCGGTGGCCTGTAGTCTGCTCTGGCACATGGTACTTACATTTATCGCTATTTTACACGGCATTTTAATTTTCGTGTACAAATGGACGCTGATGTTTCTTGACCTCTTGGAATACAAAGAAAAAATATACAATCAATTAATCAATCAATCCAATCCATCAGACAATGAAGTAGTCATTCAATCTGTAGTCAACATTTGTCAATCAATGATCAGCAAATCCAAAAATCAACCAATTAATCAATTAATCAACCAGTCAATCAACCAATCATTCAATCATTCAACCAGTCAATCAATCAATCAGTTTATCAACCAGTCAATCAGTTAATCAACCAGTCAATCAACCAATCCATCATTCCAAAAATCTTCAGTTAATCATCCATACAATCAATCAATCATAATTAATTCAATGATTAGTAATTAATCATTCAATCAATCAATCAATCAATTCGATGATTAGTAATCATTTAATCAATCAGAGCGATTTTTAGTCAATTACCAAATCATAAACGTTTACCTGTAGAAGAGAATATCTTTCAGAATAGGAAGTACCACACACATAATGGACATGCATAAAGTAATGTGTAATCAAATGTGACGAATCTGACGATAAAAACGAATTCAATAAGCAAGAGCAACGAACATTATCTACAAGAGCTCGAAACATTGCTGCGGACGATTGTGATAACGATAATAACACTAATTATGATATCAATGACAAAATAAAAAAAGTACCAATATTGATGGCAAGTGCGATATACCCCATGAAATGATACCCAACGACCCTCATGAAGTCCATTATTGCGTTACCTTTAGGTGGCGTGACCGTCACGGATAACTTCAATTTGTCACCTCGAGCCTTTAGTGGATCATAGACTAACATTGGATTACCAATTGACTTCATCGCYTGGGGCCTTCTGAAAGCTAGCAACAAGCGTAGTCGTAAGTTAAATAGGCACGTGTATGGCACGTAAATCATATCACGTAGCACATGTAGGTACGATACGAATGTCGGGATATGATGGGGGGAGGGGGCGAGGGGGCGAGGGTGGGAGTGGTACCTACAATTACCAATTTGTATCAAGCATTCAAAAACAAGCAAGAGTTACCTTGTGAGGTGGACGTAAGTCCTTCCACCAATACACTATTTTCAGTGAGAGCAACTACAGTAAACTGGAAGCTGAAGTAACTGTTTTTTTCTGGTTTTATCCAAAACAAAGGACAAACGTCTGACACACCAACGGTATTATTGACACCGAGAAACACTATCTAATATCAGAACAATAAAATTATTAACTTTAGACTTAAATCTATCTTCGTTGAATATTGTTTTTTTAATATGAAATAGAGCTACTATATGGATTTAATTTAAGGTGCAAAATTTAAAAAAAAAATAATAATTCATTGTGCTAGAAATACCTTTTTCAGTTCTAAAATGTTATAATAATTGATGATTTCAACCAACCACAATTTAACGCAAGCAATGCATGAAAGTCTAACTCGCAATCCCCGGGTCGATGTCAGCACATTTAATTTTTTTTTCTTATGCCCATCACTCACAAAATACAATTCAAAACCAGTTTTTTCTTTTGCTGAAACACTTGCGGAATATGTCTCCTTRTGATTGATATCTACTTCTAAGAAGTGTTCTTTAAATGCATCTTTGTCACAATAGGCAACCTGATAGCTTTGAGCCAGAAACGTTAAATTGCAACCGAACAAAATGAAAAGCTTGATAYATTACGTACATTTCTTATCAAAGTACTGCCTTTAAACGGCCCATAATACTTCTCTTTCAGTAAATACACCACTGTTCCATTAGATGACGTCATAGGTGSCTGCCATGACAACGTCATACTTGTGATGTTTCTTGATATTACTTTAGCAGGTCCGGGAGGTGAGATAACTGTGTTTTCTCCTTTGTAGATATCTGTCCAGTTTTTCATGATTCGGATGAAAGTGCAGCTTTCTCTGCAGATTGATGATTTCTTGAAAAATTGAGAGAGGAAAAATATTTAAGGTCTTTTGGAAAAGTGAGAGCCGAGCTAAGGTAGAATGAAGTACTTACACATTTTTTATTGCAGTCATCTAGCGACAGGAAAAGTTGATCGCAAGGCTGTTTGCACTGTAGGCAAGACACAGACACACAGTAAAATCACGCTTAATGTGTTAGATACAGACACCCAAAGAATTAAGACATCCACTGGACACCGACATAATACACCAACACGATACACCAACACAATACAACAACACAATACACCAACATAATACACCAACACAATACACCAACATAATACACTAACACAATACACCAACACAATACACCAACATAATACACCAACATAATACTCATACTAAAGCCCATACTCACTTGTAAACATAATTGGCTTGTGCAGTAGGAATCGTTGAGACTTTGTTTACCAACCTAGTGAAAATTATAATCGAACAATTATTTTTTTTCCGTACTAATGGGACAAATAGATTGGTTATAAGTGCGATAATCCATGTAAAAAGCTATCAGGTAAATAGTTTATGGATTGAAAAATCCAGA